GTTCAGAACAACACGGCTCCGCCTGCGGATTCTGCTGCACCTGCCTCGTCGGAACGCCCCCGTGGATCGTCATCTCAAGTGTCGTCTGGCCCCAATTGCCTTCGCCATGGTCAGCCTTCTGCCAACCATGTCAGTATGCTTGCCAATGTGAGTCACTTCACACTACAATCCTCCGCTCCACTTCCTGACGTCTCCTCGGAATGGATTATGGATTTTGGCGTTTGGGTTTAGGGACACTGACTGGCGAGACTGGAGGGACCTATGCTCAGACTGTAGAGACCCATTTTGTTATCGGAGGGACAGATGCTGAGGTTGGAGGGACACATCCCAGCAAACAGGTAAACAGGGTACGTCGGGGCAGCACTGCTAGATTCGTTTGTCTTTGCGGTCGGTGGTGGGACAGAACGTGGATCTCCCCGCAACTTGTCCTGCTTGGTTGCAATGGTGGCAGTTGTCTTCTCGTCTTTGTCCACGGCCACTACCTGTACCACGACCGCGTCCGCGACCCCCTTGGCCGCGCGAGTTGTCAACAGCGCTCAGTGCTCGTACATCGCCCATATCAGCGCTTGGAGCTTGGATCGCTCCGTTGGCGAGGGCAGCTTTATATTTAGCCTCCAAAAGTGATCGAGCCGTTCTAAGTGTTTGCATTCTTTCAGGCAAAAAATTAACTTGGTGGAGCACAATGCACCAATTTGCCATTGCCGACCCTTGATAAACGTACGCCATGAAGACCAGTTCTTGTCGTCTAACAAGACCATGTTCATGTCGAGTGTTGGGCTCATAACCTCATAATCCAGGAAGCTCCGATGCGCAAGAGATAGTAAATTCAAGAGTGAATTGTGTAGTTTTATCTATCGTCCCTCCACTATTGAGATCTTCTCCAAAGACATGGAACCGTATGTAAAGTTATGAAACCGCCGAGATGGCAGTGTCGGTGGAGAGCCACTTCCAACAAATCTACCAACGCTTGAAAGGTACATAGATAGCGAGACAAATGAACGAGCTTGGGGAAGAAAGCCAAGCTGACGCGCGTGAAGAAGCCTTCAAACTCTCAAACTCGTCGCGTTCACGACAGCTTCTACATCAAATACTATAAAGAATTTAGCGCAGCAAATTATTCTAAATCATCGTTTTGTTGTATTTCGACAACCAGTTCGACGGTCTGACCCCACCCTCACTGACGGCACACGGGACGGTCAGCGATCGATACCGTGTCCGACGTCGTTCGGAGCTCACACACACGACCAAAATGAAAATGGATATTCAGTTGGTGTACACTTGAAGAGAGTATACCGTGCGGTTGGCAACTTGTTGAGGAGCATTCCAGGAGCCGTCTTGGTGTCCACACGTACAGGACGTTGTCCATTGGGTCATTGACGGTAGTAAACTTGGCACCGTCAAACCAACGTGGCGACTGGCGGTGGTCATCCACGTTAGAGAGGCGGCGAACCAGTACAGGGTCGACGAAGCCAGGACGATCGGCGAGGGTGGGGTCCATTTAAACATGAATAGCTTGATGAAGTTGACAATAGATATGCAGTAGTACTGTCGGACTTGGTGCAGTCCGGCAAGCCGACAAGTCAACCATGAGCCCCCACATGAGAAGCCCCCATCAAAGTAGCACCGTTGACAGAAGGATATAAGTGGTGCAACAAGAGAATTCCGAGTTTGCTGACCGAGGAAAGGGAACCATGGTCGATTGCGTAAATCAAGCAGCATTGCGAAGGATCAGCGACAAATTCTTCACGAACGTTATACTGAACAGACCTTCCACTTCCGTTTTAGTTGGCGGGACATCGCGTGCTTTTTAGCAGCCGATCGAGTTACCTTGAAGACGACAGACTCGCCGGGGTGATGCCGGGTGCAGTGCATGCGCAAAGCGTCTTTTTGGTTTTCGTTATGCTTGGCTTCACATCTTGGGCAATGGTAGTCCCCATTGTTGTCCTTTGTGACCAGTCTTTTCCCCATTTGTGCCGTCCTCGAGTCAAATTTGAAGATGCAATTTTTGGTGGAACGCAAATCCGAACAGACTCTGA